CACGGCGAGTGGAGTTTATACCAAAAAGTTCTGTTTTGGTCTCATCTGACCACATGACCTTCTCCCATGCCTCCTCTGGATCATCCAGATGGTCTTTGGCAAACTTCAGATGGGCCTGGACATGTGCTGGCTTGAGCAGAGGGACTTTGCGTGCACTGCAGGATTTTAAGCCATGATGGTGTAGTGTGTTACTAATGGTAACCGTTGAGACTGAAGTCCCAGCGGTCTTCAGGTCATTGACCAGGTCCCCCCGTGTAGTTCTAGGCTGATCCCTCACCTTTCTCAGGATCATTGATACTCCACGAGGCGAGATCTTGCATGGAGCCCCAGTCCGAGGGAGATTGACAGTCAACTTGAATTTCTTCCATTTTTTAATAATTGCGCCGATAGTTTTTGCCTTCTCACCAAGCTGTTTGCCTATTGTCCTGTAGCCCATCACAGCCTTGTGCAGGTCTACAATTTTGCCACTAGTGTCCTTAGCTCTTTGGTCTTGCCCATAGTGGAGAAGTTGGAGTCTGATAGATTGAGTGTGTGGATAGGTGTCTTTTATACAGGTAATGTGTTCAAAGAGGTGCAATTAATACAGGCAGTGAGTGGAGAATAGGAGGGCTTCTTAAAGACAAACTAACAGGTCTGTGAGAGCCAGAAGTCTTGCTGGTTGGTAGGTGATCAAATACTTATTTCATGCAATAAAATGGAAATAAATTATTTAAAAATGTAACAATGTGATTTACTGGAATTTTTTGTAGATTCTCTCTCTCACAGTTGAGGTGTACCTACAATGAAAATTACAGATCTGTCCATTCTCTGTAGGTGGGAAAACTTGAAAATCGGCAGTGTATCAAATACTTATTTGCCACACTGTATTCTATGTGATTCTTTGTGTGAGTACCTGTTTAGGTAGTATCGGAAAAAATGGCTTTTGTGCAGATGTGTAGACTGTGTTGTATATGTATATTTCTGTGGCTCCATCACTGTGTCTGATCCACAGAGATGGCCGAGCGGCATGATGTCCAACATATCTTGAAGATAGCACGTGAGCTGGTGCACAAAGTCCAGTCTCTGATGGACAACAAGTGACTGAAGAGCCAGGTGAGGAGTGGGGGGATGCTGCAGAGGGAGAGTGTCCAACCCTAGAGGACATTCATATCCTCCCACCCTTCAGAGAGACACTGTTTCCAGGCCTCCTCCTATCCAGAGCAGGTGTAGTGGGTTCAGGTCTCCTCACTGCCAGCGAGAAGGCCCTGGGAGTGGGCAGGAGTGCTGCTGCAGCCTGGCTTCCACCTGTTTACATGTACCTTCACATGGAATGCCCGTGGTGTCTGTTCAGACATATGGATCTGTCTGCATGCTTGTGAGTTTGATCACACTGTGAACACATTCTTGAGTGTCTCTAGAGCTTGGGTGTGTGCATGAAAACACACATACTCCACGTTGACTATCAATATTCAAATTTCTAGAGTCTCATGCTTTTCCTGGACTCTGAAACAGAACAGACTGGAGGCCTGTCAGGAAGGCTGCAGTGTTCTCAGTGTCTGATAGATGTGTTCCTCCATGCAACGCCAGTGGAGGCCAGTAGAGTGCAGGATTTCACACAATATTGTCAAAGGAGCAGAAGACCTAGCCACGAAGAAGTCTTCATTAGTGACCAAATGGACTGTGCCAACTAGTGTTTTGTACAACAGCATGTGTTCTTCCTCCCCCTTTTTATTTCTTTTTTTTGTTTATACGTCCATTATCACACAGATGTTGCCTTTATCAGTAATAGCCCAAGGTACTTTGTTGCACTTGTTTTCTTCATGGTGCCTGTGAATGCCTCACCATAATCAGTGGGGGCCGGAGGCACCACGAGGCCAAACTCAGGATGAATTGCAGCCAACTTTCCTAAGCCATTCAGTGGTTAATGCATGTTTAACCCTTGCTCCAAGAAAAAGAAAGTAACAGCAAAGCACAATAATGAAGACAAAAGCACACAGGCCTTCCTCTTTCCTTTGACACCACACTTACACATCTCTCGGTTGCAGTACCAGGATTTTAATTTAGGGCTGTAACTACTCTTGCAATCACATCATCAGTAATCTCTCTGGAAGTATTAAAATTTTATGGTTAGACACATTTTATATGTTAGGATTTTATGTTTTACTCTGGTATTTGTAGACTACAAAGAATTACATATACAGACACTGTATACAGTATCTGTATACTCTATCTAGATAGATAGATCTAGACACCAGACAGAGAGAATTTTTGCCAAAGTTAATAAATTACTTACCCTGTAACAATAGGGCTGACATTATTCTATATATTTCTTATTGCCAACAAATCCCATGATTCCTAACACCAACTGTCCAAACAAATGTACTCTGGGTGTAATACTCAGCCTCAAGTACATCAGCTCCTAATAAAGTTTTTCCCTGCTTTTGAAACTGTTCCTTCCTGGATATGTGCCACCCTGTTCATATAATTCTTGGGATTTCATGACTTGAATGGAAGGATTTTAGAAACAGACTCTAAAATATTTCTAATCCTACTCTTTCATACCATAATATGATAATAATGAAACAATGCTTAAAAGTACATCTTAAAGGTGAAAAACAGAATACCGGCGTTTGAGTGGTTGACCTGAGGTTATTATTGCTTCAGTGGCAAACATCAAGCAGCCACTTAAACAGTTTAAGGAGCGAGGTCATCGTTCTTGGACATTTACTTGTAACATAGGGCAGTCTTCTACACTCAAGCAGAACAACTTGTTGAACCATCAGCATAGTTTCAATCTACAGCAGTTTGATTCTTTTATGCTTGGCTCAGATTATACATTTTAAGTCTGACAACAGCCTGACACAACGGTTGTAGGGTGTCGGGCACCACAATCAATCATGTAATCTTATAGTAAAAGACAACTGTGTGGGACGTCTCATGTACATAAAGTGTAGTATGTCAGAATTTTTTCACTTTCTGCAACATGGTGGGCCGATGCTGACCAAACACTTGCTTCTTTGCTCACAACATTTTTAGCATATTGTACTGAACCATATAAATTAAAAATCAGCGATACCGCTAATTGCTGTGATTCACATGCATATTGACTTTGACAGTCAGCCTTGTGAAGTAGTTACCCTGGGGCCAGATAGTTTTCAGTTTTACTACCGGCTTAAAACACTTATTTTTAACTGCTACTAGTGATGTGTAAGGAGTTGGCTCTATGAGCCGACTCTTTTATGTCAACGATGAAAGCCATTTTGGAAATAACGGTTTTTGTTAATACACCACAGGATGATAGGTGATCTTTATGACACATGGGTCGACCACAGGCACTCCATGGCCTGACCGAACCTTGTGGTGGTAGATGTGTGCATGTGCAACCAATCATGTGTGACAACAGACAAGGATCATACCATCGGGTTAAAAGAGGAGGAATGGGATTACGGTCTACTGAATGGACAAGAGGAGAGCACGAACAGCGGAAGATGAGTGACAATCGCAAACGAAGTAGCATTTATAGTAGATGCATTTTAATAAGAAAGGCAACATAAAGGCGGAATGATATAGATGCACACACATACCAATCATAGGTACATTGCTAAATCTGGCTGAATTATAAAAGCCAGAAGCAGTACTAAATGAAGAGCCAATTGGGAGCTGAAAGAAGCTCTTATAGCAGTGCTGAGCCTAGTGTTGCTTTCGTCAATGAAAATTATGATTAAATATCGTCAACGAACCTTTATCGCGTGACGAAAACGAGACGAGACACAACGAAAATGCTGATCAAGTGACGATGACTATAAATGTATAATGCAATATTGTTGGCAAAAAAAACGAGACTAAATGTGGTTTACAAAATAAAAAACTATGCTAAAATGACTCATTTTCGTTGACCAAAACAAGACGAAACGAAATGTTATAACATTATTTCGTCTCGTTTAGTTGCGTTATTATTTTGCAGTATTTCTGTTTCCTGTGTCTCACTTCAGGGGCCGCATCAGGTCACACTGCGCAGACGAAGGCGATGTCACTTCCTTAAGACCCACGCATGGCATTTTTTAGAAGACGACAACAAAGTTAAGTGTGACACAGAGAAAGGGATCGATGGCCGGCCAGCCGGGGTTCGTCATTGGCAGAAAAAGAAGAAACGAGATTTGGAAAAACTTTAATTACATAGAAGTGGAAAAGAAAACAGAATGTGTTGTGGAAAAAGATGGGGAGAAATGCGGCCACAAAATCGCACAAAATGTGTATTGGATGTATTCTTGAGTCTCTAAGGTAACAATAATGTAATAAGATAACCTTGTTTGAAATGGGTTTGGCTAAAAGAAACTTTTGGTTTCATCTATACTACTAGGTACTTATACTAGATTGACTGGGTTAAATAGAACTGCATTACTAAAAAGAGACTAAAATACAAATATGTTATCAGTTTTCATTGACTAAAACGTCATCAGTTTTCGTTGACTAAAACTAGACTAAATGTCATCCGTTTTCGTCGACTAAAACTAGATTAGACTAAAAAGAGTATGAAAGTGACTAAAACTAATAAAAACTAAAATGACAGCTTCACACAAAGACTAAACTAAAACTAAAATTAAAACAGGCCGCCAAAAACAACTCTAGCTGAGCCAAATGAGCCAGCTCTCTGAAAAGAGCCAGAATTTCCATCACTAAGTGCTACCTCGAGTTTTCCATCAAGGAGAGACACGGGCTCCTGCCTTCTTCGTGGAACCCACAGGCCCACTTCCAACTTTAATCACCACTTCTAACCTTTGAATTAAATCATACTTTCTTTTGGAACTGGAGTTAAACATGCACACTGATCTGAAAGCACCAGGAAGACTGCTGGAATCAGCAGTGGTGCCAGGAAACACTGGTTGCAATTGTCCATGTGGAACCTGATTATTCTCCTGCCTCAAGTCCAGCCTCTGAAAATAAAACATGCTTAGAGTGGGTTGGCCTAAATAACAGTTTTGTGGTCACAGGCTTAAAAAAAACGAGGCAAAGCTGCTTTTACTGCCAAACGTTGTTTCTCTAGTGTTCAGTGGATCAGTATTGGGTTGGCTTCACAGTAACAGCACATTCATGTTTGTATGAGAAGGGAATCACAGACATTTTGATACATTCAACCCCCTGTCACTGTGACTCTTTATCTCCACCATCCTCCTTGAAATGTTTAACATGGCTGCATATGAATGGTAATCCTGCACAGACCTACACCTGTGATTCACATGCCAAGAGTCTTCCCCTATCCTGACGTGTACTGTAGTCATTTGGCTCTCTGATTCGGTAGTTTGATCCCTGGACAGGAGGTGGTGTGGATATACGTTGCTCTCCCCCTCCACCACAGTGACAGAGAAGAGTTGGCAGGGGAAGCAAGGGTCCATAGCAGAGCTTTTTCTTCCAATCAGGACATTGTGTACCAAAGCCTTGAAACAGGCCCCTCTGTGGCATGACATTTGCAATTTCATACTGCATCTCGAAGACTGTTTACTATGTGTGTATATTTTTGAAAATGGTGGATTCTTTAACTACTGTGCATTTTATGTCATTTGAAAAAACCCATCAAAGTCTATATTGCGGTAATTATGAACCAGAAGCCCAATATTTCTACAAAGACTGTCAGAACATATATATATATATATATAACTTATTTTGAGATCTATTTTTTAGGTTGGTTTTAGCAGCACTAGTTTACAGCACTGTAAACTGTGCAGAAATGCAGAATGTGTGCAAACTGTTACACGTTGACTGTTAAGTGGTCTTTCTCAATGTTGTGCACTGACTTTAAGATTTAAAATTTCTATTTAGACAGCCAATGGTGGCATTGCTGAATATAGATGTATCAATTGTCTTGAATGTAATGTATTATTAATAAACAAGAGGTTGTTCATTATTGTCCTGCTCTCTTTCCTTTGAGCTGTCGCTGCTACAAAGACAAAGGCGTATCATGACTTTTACTCTTATGTATTGCTTCTCTATTCATTCTTCTAAAGGACATGAACAGATGGTGATGGATGGAGTTAGTATGTGAAAGGAGTTGTTTGTAGTAAATTACCTAACTGCTGGTTTATTCAGCTCTACCAGGCTTTTAGCATCTTTCAGTTCTCTGTTTTGCAGCCCACAGGTGTATTTTAATTTATTCCAACCACTCTCATCAATTTGATTTCAGGTGCAAATCTTTTTAACAAAAAATCCTAAAAGCCACTGTACCTTATCTGCTCAGCAGCAAACAGCAGGCATTTAAAGACTCACTGGTGATTATAGTGTAGAATGGAGCAGCTAAAGGCTGGCAGAGACCAAACAGAGCTGAGGGAATATTAGACTTATATTCAACTCCAAATTAATGATAATGTCTACCTAATATTTAAATAGGCAACTGTTTGTGTTTCTTGTATCAACTCCATAATGTGGTAAAAGGTCAAACAAGTGTCCTCAACTGAACAGAACACCAATTATGCAATTCCTGCACAAACCCAGACTTTTAGCTGTAATACTTTCATTCATATGTAAATACCACTGGATACACAGTACTGAAATATTTAGCTTTAGCCTCTCTGAATTTATGTGGTTTGATTTTCCCTCAAGAATGGCCAGGTCATTTCAAGTGGTGCAATTTGAAAAACCAAATTTTTCATTCAAATTGCTCAAATTCAATTAGTAAGGACCAGATCCACAAAATCATCTGTTCATAATCAGATTGCTCAAAGTGTAATGGTAAATTAAACCAACAAGAATTCATACTGCCCCCATACACACCCAATCTGTTTGGATCAGACTGCTCTCCTGTCAGGTCACCTTCTCTTATGGATCAAGTGTCTAATCTGCCTATAGCACAAGAGGAAAAAGCATCCTCAGATACTCATCTGTTCATAATCAGATTGCTCAAAGTGTAATGGTAAATTAAACCAACAAAATTTAAGAATTCATACTGCCCCCATACACACCCAATCTGTTTGGATCAGACTGCTCTCCTGTCAGGTCACCTTCTCTTATGGATCAAGTGTCTAATCTGTCTATAGCACAAGAGGAAAAAGCATCCTCAGATACTGTTTAGGTACTGTATACTGTATGTACTGCAAGCAATACAGTATTGAATGTCTGTCGATTCAGCACTTGTACAAATACAGTACAGTACAGTGGACCCTTGGATTGCGAGTAACCCGGTTTGCGAGTGTTTTGCAAGACGAGCAAAAAATTTTGATTCGATATACGAGCGAGGTCTCGCAATACGAGACACTGGGGCAGGTGTCTCCTTTGCCAAGTCGGCAGTCCATCCTTGTTCAAGCAAAGAAGAGTGCCATTCACAAACGCAAACTCTTGCTGTCAAAGATTATGAAGTGTTCTGGACTTGCACTTTAATTATCAGACCCTTGTGCTTAGTGAAAAATTTTCACCTTAATACTTTTTCCTCAGTTTCAATGTTCAGTTGTTTTACTCCATTTCCATCCTTTATATCCTTGGTTACATTTGGCTAAATGTTGCCACATTTCAAAAAGAGAGAAAAGTTTTTGTTTTGTTTTTTAACAAAAGCACTGTTTATCACGGTTGATACTTCAAACTGATCAGTACCCATGACATTGCACAATACAAAGGCATGAAAAAACATTAAAATAGGTATTGCATCTTCCAAAAGCTAATTTTCCATAAATATTTGTGATTTTAGTTCACTGCAGTTTCTTACAACAGAATCATAGAGTTTGTTTTCTAAATAGCCAGAAATAATTTCTAAAAATCAATGAGCATGATGTAACACCAAAATAACAATCAGCAGACATTCTCTGGTTGTGAGAACCAGTATTATACTTTGTACAATACAACATTGAAGGCCAAGAGTCCACAGTCGAGGGGTGGTAGCAGGCCACACTCTGGTGAGGAGACTGTCCAGCTGTTGCCAGCTGTTGCACCTTTGAAGTGCGGTGAGATGGCTAAGATGTCCATGATTCTTGGTTCCACTGCACCAAGTCCTAGACTGAAATATAAGAATGTAAATTAGGATGAAAACAAAACTGTAAATCACTGTTTCAGGACTCTGTTAGAAACATATTCAGTGAGGTTCAATCATTCTTTCTGGGTTTATTCATCTTTTTCAGTGGACTGGCTTCTATCAACCATTTCTTTTAAATACATTTAAACATTCAACTATGCTCATAAAGTCTTTGAATTAAAGTTTTCAAATTTCCTAATAACCTGTCAGGAATACTGACAGGTTAACACTGCTGGATAATCCAGGAGTGCAACCAGTGAGAAAAATCCTTGTCCTTATGGCTTGTGGCCATCGTAGGTTAGGGTGGAGGTTCTCTAGCCTGTGGATAAGAATTTTTCCTACATGCAGCCCAGCGACCATAAGCGAGTTCAAATAATCACTTTTGCATCAGAGACAGTGTACAGCATGAAAAGTATTATATAATAAAAGGATTATGTGAATAAAACTGTCTGTGTCCAGAGAGAATTCTAGAAGTTACATTTCAGACAGATGACATCATCATCAAGAAGAAAACTTAAATTCTTTAGTAGCTTGATTTCCAGATACCATAAATTCAAAAACATATAAATGCATATACAAGTCCAGCTGTACCTGCGCGCTGTAGTGATGGCACCTCTGCTGCTCCTAACTGGGCTTGGGTCTCTCTACAGACTTCTGGATCTGTGTGGAGGAACAGACAGCACAGGTCTCAGGATGACAAGCAGCTCTGTCACACACTTTGCGGTAAGGAAATAAGGAAATACCAGAGTTCAACCACCAAGAAGATGCCCAGTCAGCTGATTCAACAACTTTAACATAGTTCTTTTCTTTCCCTTTTATTCAAAGAACAACATGACCAATACACCTGCAGTCTTAGTGAATAAACATCAGAATTGTTTCTTAAAAAATAAAATAAAGTAAAATTGTGAAATAGCTGTAGATACATTTAACTATGCCTACTGGTCAAACAGGTCAGTGGACGATGCAATTAACACAGCACTGCATTACATCCTGCAACACCTCGAATCCCCAGGGACCTATGCACGGGCCCTCTTTGTGGACTTCAGCTTGGCATTCAACATCATCATTCTGGACATCCTGCACTCCAAACTGGCCCAGCTCACTGTGCCTGCCCCCACCTGTTTACTAGCTTTCTGACAGACAGGAGGCAGTAGGTGAGGCTGGGGAAAACCACACCCTGCACCTGGACAATAAGCACAGGCATCCCCAGGGATGTGTGCTCTCCCCTCTGCTGTTTTCACTCTACACCAACAACTGCATCTTGAAGGACCCCCCTGTCAAGCTCCTAAAGTTTGCTGATGATACAACGGTCATCGGTCTCATCCGAGACCGCGACTAGTCAGCCTACAGATGGGAGGTTGAGCAGCTGGTCCTGTGGTGTAGCCACAATAACCTGGAGCTGAACCAACAATGACAGTATGACTGGACAATAACCCTCAGTGCAACACCTGTAAATATACATTGTACAGATTATACAGGTATCTATTTTTAAGTACTCTATTTTTATTCCTATTTATCTCATTTCACAATGAGCATTCCTTTGTCTGTCTGCATTGTTTACTGCCTGTTTATACTATTTATTTTTCATTGTTTGCACTGTTTGTTGCTTGTAAATACTGCTTATTTTGTTATATCACACAGCCTTATTCTGGTTTACCGTTTACTTGCTCCTTGCATGAGGATATGTACATACACATTGAGAGCCGATGTACCAGAGTCAAATTACTTGTGTGTTTGACACACCTGGCTAATAAAGCAGATTCTGATTCCGATTCTACCAGAAGAGGGCACAAGTGCCCTTAAGCCAACATCAGGCTTTTGAAACAAGAGACAAAAAGACAACATTAACAGAGTAACATACAACCAGGAAAGACCAAAACCATGAAGAGAGTCTTAAAGCTGAGACCCAAACTCAACAACAGGCTGCATTAGGTGGTGAGAAAGTCAAGTCAAAAATGAGATGAGAAACTGTGAGCAGATGGAGATCTGTAACATGATCTTACCGAGTTGCCGATGGTTTAATTCAAATCAGACTCTAAAACACACTTAACTGACAAAAAGGGAAAAGCTCAACAACAGGCAGAAATGTTACTGTACCTGTGGCTGTTCTTTTAGGAAATCTGGTAGCTGAAATTCACCCTTAAAGACCTGGAAAAACAAAGGACCAGGTTTAGAGCTCCACAAATTCATTGAATTTGCATGAATTCATCACTTTACAATGGTGAACATTTACTGGATCATAAGTTCACTATAATGCAATGACTTAGTACATGAGAGTAAAGAATCACTCAGCATGTGAGATCCATTATCATGGCCTAAAGCTGAGCTGACCCAGTGGGACAGGTGAAATCCACCGTGGTGTGTGTCTAACTTAGAGGGTTTCTGCTGTTCACAGGTTTCTCATGTGTAAATTTTAATCATTTGTTATCTTGTCAGAAGACAGAAAAAAACAATCAAGAAGACAACTCCAGAGCTCCAGAAAATAACAAGCAAATACATTTCTTTGCTGTAGTGTACTTTGGTTCACTGAGGAAAATAGGTAAAAAAGAAAAAGTACTATTATTTGACCTATCAGGAACAGAAAAAAAACAAACATGTGGCGATGGACAAACTGTGGCTTTTCATAGATCAAACAATTCCAAGATATGTACAGCATGCATCTGGTTTCTGTCTTCTGTCTCAACAACTGACTCATCTTGACGAGATATAGGCAACATGTTGAAATGGTATCTTGCTCAAGGCAAACCAGTATAAGTGAATCCACCGCAGGCATTTGCAAAGCACATGCAGACGGAGGATATTCAGTGTTTAAAAAAAAATTTAAATATCTATTCAGTGAACCTGCATTGGACCTCCACAAAGTGGGAGGAATGGGTCAAAAGTCCTGTGCCCTCCTTCTGGGCTCCAGAGATGAAAACCTCCCCACAACACAAGGCTCATTCTTGAATCCCTCTGTGTGCCTTCTTGTTTGGCCAGAAACCAAACATAATCTGAAATGATTTCCAACACTAGAGACAGAGTGGCGAGTGCATGCTTTCCATTTCCTCCTGGTGCCATTTTGCAACTTGCCTCAGCATACAGACTGAGGCAAATAGTACTTTTGTTTTTTTTACCAGAATGCTCAAACCTTCCAGTAGGACACAAAAGGCAGAGCACACAAAGAAGAAGTGGAGCATATGTGATCTAGTGGTTGTACACTAGATCACATGCTTAGGGCAATAAATCCAAGTGGTGTATAATTAAAAAGTGTACAGAAGAGGCTGGTCTGTCTCCTTTGCATGCTACAGGTCAAACTGTTCTTCAGAGAGGACAGACAGACAGGTCTTTGAAGGCCAGACATAAAACTCTGCATGCCTGGATCACTGCAGTAACATGAAGTCAGTCTTGTTTTGTCTGGTGTTGTGCCCACAAGTGCAGGAAGCCAACTTGGGAAGACCTACTTATTCTGAGGGACTCAGAATAGCAATAATTAATATTCAACTTTAATTCCAGGCAGTGAGGAGTAGAAATACCCTCACCAACCACCAACAAAGTCTGCTCTGGTCTCTTTTCACCAGGAACTTTGCCTCACAACCCCTTTCTTACCGTTACAAGAGACCAGGCGTTCTGGTTCGTGTCTCAAAAACTGTTTTATGTGTAATGCCCTCTGTATGCTAAAGTGCTCCATCCTTCCTACACCCATCCAAAATGAGCCCCTTACACACTGCATTTTCAAGACTAGATTGGTGAACCTTTATTCCATCTCGTTTTCTGTGTGTAAGGTGCAAAGTTGGAATGGTGGGACATTTTCGTTCCGCCTTGGGAGGCAGAAACAGAGGTGAAACAAAAAGGAGATGTGCTCTGTGTAGAAAGTGTGAGCTAGCAGTCCACGGCCAAGTACTTACATTTTGATGCCGTATTGTGTGCAACACTATCACTGGCTATTCAAACTATCACTATCAAGACTGCACGCCTGTCTGCCTTGAACTGTTCTCGGCTTCTCTCTGACTTATAGGTCAAAGCGTTCCTGATATCACAAATGTGTTGATTGCAGTTATTACTCATGACATTCGCACACATAGCAAAAAACATGCTAATCAATTTTGTGTGAAGTGACATAAATGATTGAAGAGCCAAACAAAGCCACATCCACACTTATTCCTCCCACAATTGTTGTTTTTGCTTGTAGACTACCGGCACAAAATTTATGCCACAGTTGATGCAGAGCGATGTCGCGTTGCGCCTCTGGTGTGGAATGCGAGCCTGCTCTGTGAAAATTCACAGGCTGGCTCGCAATTATGCTGGCCAGCCAGCTTGATCTGAATGAACATGTAGTGGTTTAAAACAAACATATTAAAATGTAATATGTAATAGAATATTGTAGATTATTGTATTGTAGATTACACTATCCGCAGTAGGTAATAGCTGATAGTTATGTAAGGGTGAGTTATGCATTTACATAATCCTGCAAGATCTGTTTCTCTGAAATGTTTGAAGATGTTTGTCCATGGAGACCATGGGAAGACTATGCACTATCAGTGCATGGAGACTGTGCACTGATAGCTTGCTCAAGTGAAAACATTCTGGTTCGTGTCCTCTGTTTACCTTATGGGTTCATCTTGTGAATAAACATCTAGAGAGCAGTTTCCCTTAAATGGGAAGCTTAAGAGTTGGTTATGAGAAATGACGTAAGAGCCAGAAAGAACTGTGAACATTATGAGGGGCATAAAAAACTAGTGAATCAGAGAGAAAGGGGACAGGGAAAGTGAGGAGCTGGTCCAAGAGGGGAGACGGGACCGACCTGACTCAACTGACTTGACTGTATGGCCAAAAATGACTGACTGACTCTTTGACAATCTTCTTATCTAATACTTTTATTTCTCTGCAGAGATGGTGCTTCTGTTCCCCATCTTTCAGACTATTGAACTATCTTTCAAATTATTGAACTGCCCAGAACTATTGTAATAACAAACAATAATTGGAATTGGGATGATTTACTTGAATTAGTTTAGTTCACATCAGACCTCGGCCATCACAAACAGCACAAGGGCAGGATACTGGTGACCCTTTGGCACAGCAGTAGTGCAGGATCTCAGTGTAAAAATGACAATGGTTTCATTCATTTCCAGGATTTCACACCTCTGACCTCAGACAATAAGTCTGAGTTAACTGAAACAAATTCAAAAAATTTGGTCTTTTTATCTGATTTTTTTTTTTTTGAGGTAAACACAAACATCAGAAACTATGTGCTCTGTTTTATCTAACCTCTTTATTTACATGCAGAGTTGAAACTACTCTTTACTCGTTACCGCCATAAAACCAGCTTAGTATTTCTCCCTCCCCTCTGACAATGAAAATGTTCATAGATTTGAGAATGTGACATTATGTTACTCAAAAGTTGTGTGAAATGTCTATACAGACATTTAGAGATGTTTTAGTAAAGCTGATAAATGATTTCTGGACATGCTTAACTCAATCAATGCATAAGAAGACTTTGTCCTCTCTTCTAATAAAAAAAAAACATTCAAACTTCTCAAAGTATTACCAAAACATAAGGAAATTTAGGTGTTTTTGATTTTTCCATTTTATGATTGTGTGCTAATAACAATTGCTTGCTTTTGCTCTTTTTATTCAAGGTTAACCTTCCTTTTCCTCTACAGAAGGTATACATAGGCTTTATGTGAGAATATGTGTTATTTGGACTTTGTGTTTAAAAGCGATTAATCTTACATTCCAGCCATGAAAAAATGTGCTTTCCATGTCAGCCACGGTAGAAATTAGAAGTATAAAACCACATAAAATTGAACTTAGACAAAGAAATATTTAGTTTCTCTTAAAGAGCCCATGGCATGCTTTTCTTTGTTTTTTGACTTGCTATCCAAAGCTCAAAAAATGAGGTGTAAGTACAGTGCCTTGCGAAAGTATTCGGCCCCCTTGAACTTTGCGACCTTTTGCCACATTTCAGGCTTCAAACATAAAGATATAAAACTGTAATTTGTTGTGAAGAATCAACAACAAGTGGGACACAATCATGAAGTAGAACGAAATTTATTGGATATTTCAAACGTTTTAACAAATAAAACACTGAAAAATTGGGCGTGCAAAATTATTCAGCCCCTTTACTTTCAGTGCAGCAAACTCTCTCCAGAAGTTCAGTGAGGATCTCTGAATGATCCAATGTTGACCTAAATGACTAATGATGATAAATAGAATCCACCTGTGTGTAATCAAGTCTCCGTATAAATGCACCTGCACTGTGATAGTCTCAGAGGTCTGTTTAAAGCGCAGAGAGCATCATGAAGAACAAGGAACACACCAGGCAGGTCCGAGATACTGTTGTGGAGAAGTTTAAAGCCGGATTTGGATACAAAAAGATTTCCCAAGCTTTAAACATCCCAAGGAGCACTGTGCAAGCGATAATATTGAAATGGAAGGAGTATCAGACCACTGCAAATCTACCAAGACCTGGCCGTCCCTCTAAACTTTCAGCTCATACAAGGAGCAGACTGATCAGAGATGCAGCCAAGAGGCCCATGATCACTCTGGATGAACTGCAGAGATCTACAGCTGAGGTGGGAGACTCTGTCCATAGGACAACAATCAGTCGTATACTGCACAAATCTGGCCTTTATGGAAGAGTGGCAAGAAGAAAGCCATTTCTTAAAGATATCCATAAAAAGTGTCGTTTAAAGTTTGCCACAAGCCACCTGGGAGACACACCAAACATGTGGAAGAAGGTGCTCTGGTCAGATGAAACCAAAATCGAACTTTTTGGCAACAATGCAAAACGTTATGTTTGGCGTAAAAGCAACACAGCTCATCACCCTGAACACACCATCCCCATTGTCAAACATGGTGGTGGCAGCATCATGGTTTGGGGCTGCTTTTCTTCAGCAGGGGCAGGGAAGATGGTTAAAATTGATGGGAAGATGGATGGAGCCAAATACAGGACCATTCTGGAAGGAAACCTGATGGAGTCTGCAACAGACCTGAGACTGGGACGGAGATTTGTCTTCCAACAAGACAATGATCCAAAACATAAAGCAAAATCTACAATGGAATGGTTCACAAATAAACATATCCAGGTGTTAGAATGGCCAAGTCAAAGTCCAGACCTGAATCCAATCGAGAATCTGTGGAAAGAACTGAAAACTGCTGTTCACAAATGC